GGGCATATATCTTGTTGTGCAATAAAACTGTGCTGGAGTCAGATGTACTTTGACTCAAATCTTAGAGTTGTGACCAATAGCACATGACTTGACCTCTTTGAGTCTCAGTTGCCTTATCTGGAAAAAAGGAAACATTTCTACATATCTGATAGGGTTTATGTGAAATTTAGACATAATGTAAGTAAATCACCTAATATGGTGCATGTTTGGTAAATTTTCAATACATGAGAACCAGAGCAGTTTCAATGGTAGATACTCATACGGGAGCTGTTAGCACCATCATATTTGAGATGTTATTATGAGTGAAAGCAATATGGAGTGTAGCTTCTGGGGCTGGGCATGGTGGCTCATGCCTGTACTCCTAACAGTGAGAGGTCAAGGCAGGAGGATCTCTTGAGCTCAGGAGTTTGAGACCAGCCTGAGCAAGACTCCATCTCTACTAAAAATAGGAAAATTTGCTGGGTGTGGTGGCAGATACCTGTAGTGCCAGTTACTTGGGGGGTTGAGACAGGAGGATTGCTTGAACCTAGGAGTTTGAGGTTGCTGTGAGCTAGACTGATGCCACAGCACTCTATCCTCAGGCAAAAGAATGAGACTCTGTTTCAAAGAGAATATAGCTTCTACAGCTGGACTGCCTGGATTTGTTTGAGTTTGGGTGCTGATGCATACGTAGGGTGACTTTGCGTTTGTCCCTTACTCTTTGCCTGGGAATGAGTGAAAGCTGGTGGGTATAAAGAGCTTAACACTGTGCCTGGCACATGTAAATTTTTTATATTGGTTAACTATCCTTTTCTAGAAATTTGAGTGCCCAAGTTAAATGCATGGAAAGTTGTTTAAAACAATTGAACATCTGATCTTGAGACCTCCAGAGTTGATTCAGGAATAAATTTCCAGTTGCTAAATTATTGCTAGGACAATTTTAACTTTTACATATCCATCTACTTTTGCCCAAACCTTAGCCACTTCATCTGTATAACTGCGGCAAAGTCAACAATGGCCTCGGCAGGGAAGGCACCAGAGAAGCGGCATAACCCAGTGGAAAGCATTTGTAGAAAAATCAGAGCCATCCAAAGGAGAGAAGCAATTTCAGATCCAATCCAACAGATAATCAAGTACCAATCCAGCAGTTTTGATAGTCCACAAGCCAACACCAAGAAAAATTTTGAAGAGGTACTGAGGAAAATGGCAGCTGCTCACATTCCTATGCCCGACTCTCATTTGTCAAGTTCTAGGAAGGTTGATGCCTCCATTTCATCTCCTCAAATAATATCTCCAAGACTCCCACCCATTCCTCACCTCCACTCCCTTGAGACCGAGACATACCCTGTTATTTTCACAAGTTCTCAGAACATCTCAAAGTCAAGGTCAGAGAGCAAGAAGAATCACACACCTTTGAGGTCACAGATCAGGAAAAGGGGGTTCTTCTCTAACAAGGATTTGAATAACTATTGTAGAGAAAATAATTCTGGTGCCTCCACACTTGACTTCAACTCTGGTCAAAGCTCTGAATGTTCCAATCCACGGGATTCAGTGGTGAAGAAATTATCTCTGGATGAAGATGGTAAGTGTTCACCTTTTAATGTTTGTTCTTCCAGTAAAGCAATAAACATATCTCATTTCTGCGTTTAAATTACCAGAACTAAAAAAACGAATCCACATTATCAACATTTGGATGGAGGCATCCATCTTTCTTTTTCTGTTTTAAGTGTATTTGTTTCCTTTCTCTGCTCTTCTTAAAAGTATTAAGAAATAAAAATATAAGTATTTTTCATGCTTCCAATTAAAAACTTGATAGAAATTCTGGATCATATTTATTATCATAATTGTGGCATTTCTCTACAGACCCGAAAACAAATTTTGTCA